ATGACATTCTCCCAATCCTCTGCTGTATCATCCATGTGCTCTCTGGCAAACTTCAGACGGGCCTGGACATGCACTGGCTTCAGCAAGGAACACGTCTGGCACTGTGGGATTTGATTCCCTGCCGTTGTAGTGTGTTACTGATGGTGACCTTTGTTACTTTGGTCCCAGCTCTCTGCAGGTCATTCACCAGGTCCCCCCGTGTGGTTCTGGGATCTTTGCTCACCGTTCTCATGATCATTTTGACCCCACGGGATGAGATCTTGCGTGGAGCCCCAGATCGAGGGAGATTATCAGTGGTCTTGTATGTCTTCCATTTTCTGATGATTGCTCCCACAGTTGATTTTTTCACACCAAGCTGCTTGCCTATTGTAGATTCACTCTTCCCAGTCTGGTGCAGGTCTACAATACTTTTCCTGGTGTCCTTCGAAAGCTCTTTGGTCTTGGCCATGGCGGAGTTTGGAGTCTGACTGTTTGAGGCTGTGGACAGGTGTCTTTTATACAGATGATGAGTTCAAACAGGTGCCATTCATACAGGTAACGAGTGGGGGACAGAAAAGCTTCTTACAGAGGACGTTACAGGTCTGTGAGAGCCAGAGACTTTCCATGTTTGAGGTGACCAAATACTTATTTTCCACCCTAATTTACGAATAAATTCTTTACAAATCCTACCATGTGAATTCATGGATTTTTTTTTTCACATTCTGTCTCTCACAGTTGAAGTGTACCTCTGGTGCAAATTACTGACCTCTGTCATCATTTTAAGTGGGGGAACTTGCACAATCGGTGGCTGACTAAATACTTTTTTGCCCCACTGTACTTATAGTTATAGAATATTCACAACATACTTCATACCGTGTACATTATAACATACCATAATAGACCCATTTCTGTAATATACTTACATATCTATTGCTGCGAGATCGATCAACTTCAGACCAGACAACAAACGACGGAGGCTCCGGAAAAGTGCAATCAAACGATGAGTTTTATTATCACAGGAGAACAACCAACCGTCAGCATACGGATTGTTATGCTCTGACAAGAATACATTGGGTTCTGGTTTTATAGGATAAAATATCACACCTACGTCAATACAGTTCAAAAATACATGGTGACAGACGGGCAAAAGTTCAACCCGTGCAGACAAGGGTACATCACGTACACTTCTAATAACCATACACCGACATATCACTTCTCTTTTCTACATTACTTGACTTTTAGGGTAATAACTTCAGGTCTCAGCATCTCTGAGAGCTAATAATGGACCCTCGTCATTAATCACTAAGTAGAGTACTTTGCAGCCAGTCTCAAAGAAGCAGAAGACGCTTAGGCCTTCGCTCAGACCTGCTACTAGATTAATATGTGTATCGTAAGCGTGCATGCAATTAACCTGCTATGTTCTCATCTCCCCTCAGCATGTATCATCTGGACACTCTCACCAGTGAAGCTTAAAACCTTCTAGAATGGAACATCAAGTCTAACCAAGCACATTCATGCATTGTGTATAAAATGAACTCAACCTGTAAAAATAGAAAGGTCAATGTGATGACAGACATCTTCAATGCAATTTTATAAACCCTGCAGGAAATATTACTGATAAATGATACTGTGAAACATGTTATTAATACATTCTTCATAAGGCAGATTATATGGTGGCAATAAAAGAATCTCTGAATCCCAACATTCCCTCTTTTGACATTCCAACAGGAATGTCACCATACTTCATGTTGTATCACTCCCTGCCCCACTCTATGGGTTCCAGGTTCATCTGGTAGATGCCCTCAACCCAGCCAGGGTTTGCAACCCTCGCCACTATCTTTACCAACAATCCTCTGACACAAGGAATGATACAACAACCAGCGATGACTAATATTCCCAAAAATACAGCCAATGAGCACATCACTGATATAGCCACACCTTTCCATTGTCCAAACACGGATGCCACCCAGGACTCCGCTGGGTTTCCGATACCTGAGTGCTCATGCATCGTTTTAGACAAATTTTCCGGCCCTCCAGAGCTCGGGTTACTGAGCCATCTGGGGCAGTATTGTTGGGGATAAAGGTGCAGAACATGTCTCCGAACATAGCACAGACGCCCCCTTTTCTCCGCCAACAACATGTCAAGGGCCATTCGATTCTGCACTCCCATCAGCGAAGTCGGATTATTCTGCAAACCCTTCCATGGCGTCCCTGGTAAGGCTAGAGAGTCTCAGCCAGTTGTAATGAACGTAGTTAATGCGGTCATCATTCTTATTAGGCGTTATCCAAAGGAATATACTTTCAAACCCCGAAGCTACTGGGTCTGCCAGCTTATACTCGTTTGTAACTCCCCTGGGCACTCCTATGGAGTCTATCCTAGTCGGAGAGTTTAGCCAGGGGTCATATGCATGTATACCCTGGGTCCCTCTTTTTTAAATAAAGTTGTAAAACGTTTTAATATTTCTTTTTCAAGAACCTGCAGGTTTGTTTTATTATGTGTTTAGTACATGATACATATTAAATCCCCTGTGATCTTCCAAAGCTGTGAGCTTTCATTCCAGATCAATGATTGGCTGGTTTGAAATCCCAGCTCACGTGTTGCTGTTATCTGTACCTGATAGAGGAGAGAGGAGAACAGATACAGTGAGCGACTAGGCTTCACTTAGATCTCTCAATCACAATGAATAATGTTTCTGTAATAACAATGTTTTTTCTTTCAGGTTTCAATGAAACAGTCAGTCACAGGTTTGTTCTCTTTTTCCTCAGTTTGTTGTGTTACTGCATCATTTGCCTCGTCAATGTTTCTCTCATTGTGATCATCATCTTGGACAGCAACCTCCATGAATCAATGTATATTCTGCTCTGTGTCTTTTGCATCAATGCACTTTATGGAACAGCAGGTTTCTACCCCAGATTTCTCTGGGATCTCCTCTCTGATGTTCATCTCATCTCATATTACGGTTGCCTTATTCAGACTAAGGTGATTTATTCTTTTGTCTGCGGCGAATTGTCGATTCTTGCACTCATGGCATATGACAGATATGTGGCCATATGTCAGCCACTGAAGTACCACTCTATCATGACAAAGCAAAGAGTCATTAGGTTTGCTTGTTTTTTGTGGTTCACAACTTTCTGCATTGTGGCTGTGAATGCCTTTCTAACATCCAGACTGAAGTTATGCAGCCCGTATATTTCCACACTCTTCTGTGTGAACTGGATTATTGTTCAACTCGCTTGTTTTCCAGCACAAACTGCAATCAATGCTATATCTGCAAATATTACAATAATTATTTATTTGCTTCATGGTGTTTTTATAGTTTGGTCCTATATGTATATCATTCAAACATGTGTAAAGTCTATAGAAAACAGGGCAAAGTTCATGCAAACATGTGTCCCACATCTCGTCTCATTATTTACTTTTGTTGTGGCAATACTTACTGATATTATAAGTATGCGACTGGGTTCGAAAGAGTTGCCTCAGTCCCTTCAAAACTTTGTAGCATTAGAGTTTCTTGTCATTCCTCCTATTATGAATCCTCTGATTTACGGTTTCAAACTGACCAAAATTCGAAAACGATTTTATAGTGTTGTTATTTTAAAAGTAACTAAATTTTGTTTTATTCGATCAGAAAATAGTTTCACACACAGCTAAGTGTCACACCCATTGTTTGACATCCATTTTAAAATAAGTCCAAAAAATGTTTAATTTTTACTGAAATTTGTGTTTTATTTGGAGTTGTCTGAAAACATGTCTATTGATGTGAGCGGATATGACGTTTTATTATTTATCTGCAGATGATTTACATTTTGTAGATGTCTTTGCACTAAATGTATTTTTGATGGTCACCTGCCTAATTACCAAAAAAACACTGATATGTAGAAAGGCTGTAAATTTCACTGTCTTTCTTCTCATTACTGTTCAAGGAAATAACAGGCACCATGGAGACTGCACATGTGAAAAGGATTAAAAGACAAACTGTTTTAGATGTGGCAGCACTATCAGAGTGTCAATCTATTTTGATATTATGCTGTCTTATAAATCTGATCCACAACCACATGGATGTGAAGCAGTTTTAGTAGTTTTCTCAGTTTTATCCTCTTTTTCTTTAACACTTATTGAAACAGTCAGAGGTTTTAGCAACTGGACCAGTTTTTGAATTTCTGCTTAATCAAACATGAAAGTCTGTTTTTACTTAACACTTGTACAATTAAATGGCTTTTCCATTATTTGAAGGATTGAAAGTTGAAGCTAAAGATGTACAGTGCAAATCAGTTTTTCTACATGACAAAATGTTTCTTTTTACTGTATTAAGTAAAAAGAGATGAGAAATCTGTTAAACAGTAAGAAATAAATGTTTACAATTGCAAAAAGAAAAGATCTGGTAGCTCATTTCCCAGCAGCAGGTGAGGCCAAGAAGCACCACATCCCACACACAAACTACCAGCAAAGGCCTCCCCAATAGGCGTGTTCTCTCCCTGCTGTTCTTGACCTTCTAAACTGACACTGTCACGGTCTGCCGGGGCAAGCCGTGTGGGAATTATTTAGGACCAGGAAGCGGCAGCTCGGGTGCACCTGAGTTTAATGACAAGAGAAAATACAAACAGCAAACGGTGCGGGTGGACATGAAACTGGAAAACCTAAACTGGGCAAAACTAACAAAACAAACCAGAAATGACGATGCAGGGAGGTCAGGGGAAATACACGGGGAAATACACGGGGAGAGACACAGAGAAACACAGAGAGACACAGAGAGACACAGAGAGACCGTGGGAAACAACACAGACGAACCAGCAATGAGGACGGGTGAACACACACTACAGTATAAATACACATACCAGTAATCAGGGGATGGGAAACAGGAGGGAAACATATCTGGGGGACATAACAGCTGACGAGGTAAGTGTAACCCATATTTGAGTATGGCTTAACTAGAATACACCAGAATAAAAGAATCATTAATCTAAACAGCACACTTCATTTGTAATGAATAAACCATAGGTGCAGCCGTTAAGGAGTTAACTGTTCTGGTTTAGACACGTGCTACTCTAGGCCAATGAGCTGCTGAAACGTGGTACAGGCTCCGCCTGCCGCCCCTGCCTAGGAGGACACAGATTTTTCTTTTCTCTCTTCCGCTCGCGAACCTTCCATGAGCAAGCTAGTGAGGAAACGAGACACGGCGATTTACTGAGACGAGGTATGAAAAAGAGTAATATAGACGGAGAGCTAGCACTCACTGTTTACGAAAGATTGTTTTACTGTATGTATATTGCTAAGACGAGTAATTAGCTGGTTCTTTTTACATTGCTTAGTCGAGAAAGGTCGGGAGTTAGAGACGACGCCATTTCATCGGTCGTGCGCCATCTTGCGCTGCTCCGTCTTTCTAATTCTGAGATCGGTGAGCAAAGTGTTTTACTTGTTCATTATTTATCTGTGTTTCATGAATGCCTTGCAAGTAAAATGTTCCAGTGTTTAATGATAATTGTTTAGGAATGTTCTGTAGGAAACTTTGTTCAATTTACTGAAACCCAGCAGTTGAAGTGAATGTGTGAATTGTGATTTTATGAGGAACTTAATATGTCCCATGACACTGTCGTTGACAGGTCAGGTTTTTTTTCTTTTGTTTGGTTTTGGGGTTTTTTTTTTTTTTGTTTCTTTGGTTTGTATCTTCTTGGTGCATTCCAACGGATCCTGAAATTGATGGCGAGCCAACCCCGTTGAAGGATCAAATGACTTTGTTCTGTCCTGCACATCAGAGTGTGGTAGGCCAGATGCAACAAAACAGAAACACACCACGCCATTTTGTACTCGTAGTCCCCCTTCTTCACACACATCCCCCTGGACTCACGGGCGGGTGGTTTTAAGGACTCGTTTTACGGACTCTGTACATTCCATGAATGTGAACAAAAGTGAGTGTGAGCGGTTGGAAATAACCCTCCAGCTGATTAACTGTTGCTATTTGTTAACGAAGTCTGTGAAAATGCAAATAAGTGTTAACATTTATATGCTGATGATTGAAATTGTGGTTCATTGTTGGATGTGAACTGTACCTCTAGAAAGGGTGCACCCAGGTAAGATTTCTTTTTTTCCATCAAGTGATCACTGTGATTTTGCCAAAAGGTATTATTAAGAGAGTACTGGTACCAAAAGGGAATAATTTCATTTGTAAGTGTTTTGTATGTTTGTCATAATGTCCTGTTATTTCTAATTGAAAAGAAAAATACAATTCCGGTTATTTTTCAAAACTCGCGGTTGTCTGAGTCTCATTCAGTTCGCCTCTCCTGTACGTAGCCGAACCTACTGGTCCAAATCTTTGAGCTCTTTGATGTCAAATTTGGGTGACATACTCTTGTTTTGATCTGGGAGTATTCGAAACACGCACATGAGTGCTACATAAGGGAAACGTAAACAGAACACAGACATAAGAAAGAGACCTTCCAAGTAAAACAGGAAACACATACAGGTAATGACACAGACTCAGAAACGCAGACTGGACACAGGGATACACGGGCAGAAAGAAAAGAACACTAACCGAGGAAGAACAGAACCAAAATGACAATAATAGAAAACACAAAACGCTGGGTCAAAAGGACCCAGGTTCCTGACAGATTGACTAGAATGCCTTTTATTGTCACTATACACATGTACAAAGAGATTCAGAGCATCTCCTACCCAGTGCAGACATGTGGGGAAAGAAGAAAGGGGGGTGAGGTGCACAGTTCTGTGGCACTGTATACATATGGGCAGGTCAATATCAAATATACAAATATTGGAAAAAATAAATAGTCTATATTTACAGTGGGGTATTTTGACATAAATTAAATATTGCACAGTGGTGGTAGTGTTTGTATATTCTGTGTATAGAGGAGAGGCTTGAATTGGGGGGTGAAACTGTGTCGTCGGTTCATCTGTGAGTTCAGGGTGCTCATGGTTTTTGCAAAGGAACTGTTCCTAAGTCTGTCAGTGTTTGTGCTGATGCACCTGTAGCGCTTCCCTCATCTTCTGTGCTGCCTTGATTACACTGTGAAGCTTCACTCTCTTCCCATCTGGTCAGCTGCCGTACCTTACTTTGAGGCAGTATGTCAGCAGGCTGTCAATGGACGAGCAGTAGAAGATCAGCAGCAGGTTGGAGTCCAGTTTGTGCTTCTTGGAAAACCGGAAGGTGTGGACCCTCTCCAACCATCACTGTTGATGTATAGGGGACCTAAGTCAGTGCTGTGCCACCTGAAGTCGACAATGATCTCTTTGGTTTCCATAGTGGTCAGTGCTAGTTTTTTCTCTGAACACTATGATGTCAACTTCAGGACTTCCTCTCTGTAGTCTGCCTCGTCTCCCTTTGAGATAAGTCTGACTAATGTGGTGTCTTCAGCAAACTTGATGATGATGTTGTTGTTGTGGGTCGAACTGCAGTCTTAGGTCTAGAGACAATACAGGAGGGGGCTCAGCACACAGCCTTGTGGGGAGCCAGTGCTCAGCATGCGAGTGGAGGACAGATAGGGGCCAAGTCTTACAGTCTGGGGCCGGTTGGTGAGAAAGTCAAAGGCCAAGAGTGACCAGTTTGGTGAAGAGGATATCCGGGATGATTGTATAGAAAGCTGAGCTGTAATCCACAAAGAACATCCATCCATCCATCTGCTTATCCGGGGCCGGGTCACAGGGGCCGCAGCCCTAGCAGAGAAGCTCAGACCACCCTCTACTCAGCCAACTCCTCCAACTTGTCTGGGGGAACACCAAGGCATTCCCAAGCCAGCTGAGAGATAAAATCTCTCTAGCATGTCCCAGGTCTGCCTCGGGGCCTCCTCCTGGTGGGACATGCCCGAAACACCTCATTCAGGAGGTGCTCAGGATGCCTGAACAACCTCAACTGGCTCTATTCAATGTGGAGGAGCAGCTGCTCTACTCTGAGCCCCTCCCGGAAGACTGAACTTCTCACCCTATCTCTAAGGGAGAGGCCAGCCACCCTTCAGAGGAAGCCCATTTCTGCCGCTTGTATCCGCAATCTCGGTCACTACCCACAGCTCATGACCATAGGGGAGGGGAAGGACGTAGATCGACCAGTAAATTAAGAGTTTCGCTTTTACACTCAGCTCTCTCTTCACCACAACACACTGGTATTGCATCCATATGACGTTTTATTATTTATCTGCATTTCGCAGATGATTTACATTTTGTAGATGTCTTTGCACTAAATGTATTTTTGATGGTCACCTGCCTAATTACCAAAAAAACACTGATATGTAGAAAGGCTGTAAATTTCAGTCTTTCTTCTCATTACTGTTCAAGGAAATAACAGGCACCGTGGAGACTGCACATGTGAAAAGGATTAAAAGACAAACTGTTTTAGATGTGGCAGCACTATCAGAGTGTCAATCTATTTTGATATTATGCTGTCTTATAAATCTGATCCACAACCACATGGATGTGAAGCAGTTTTAGTAGTTTTCTCAGTTTTATCCTCTTTTTCTTTAACACTTATTGAAACAGTCAGAGGTTTTAGCAACTGGACCAGTTTTTGAATTTCTGCTTAATCAAACATGAAATCCGTTTTTACTTAACACTTGTACAATTAAATGGCTTTTCCATTGTTTGAAGGATTGAAAGTTGAAGCTGAACATTTACAGTGCAAATCAGTTTTTCTACATGACAAAATTTAGAAATCTGTTAAATAGTAAGAAATAAATGTGTAAAATTTGCAAAAAAAAAAATTTCTGGTAGCTCATTTCCCAGCAGTAGGTGAGTCCAAGAAGCACCACATCCCACACACAAACTACCCTCACCAGCCTCCCCCACAGGTGTGTTCTCTCCCTGCTGTTCTTGTCCCATATGTGAAACTCCTTAAGTTCGCTGATGACACCACCATCATTGGTCTGATCCTTAAGTCAGATTTTTCTGATGCTTAACAATACAGTAGCTACTGTGGTTCCCTTCAGATTCCTAGGATCCACCTTTCCACACGATCTGAAGTGATCCTTGCATATAAACTCTTTCCAGAAGAAGGCCCTAAGTTGCCTCAGGAACTACAACCTGCCACAGGAGCTGCTGGTCATCTTCCATATTGCTATCATGTAGTCTGTTCTGTGGACATCAGTCACTGGGCCAGACTGCAACAGGCAATCAGATCTGCAGAGCTGATCATCAGTGCTGATCTTGCCTCCATCCAGGACCTGTAGAGGTCCAGTGTTAGGAAATCTCTGCAGACCGCTCACGTCCCGGACACGAACTGTTCAAACTGCTGCATTCAGGAGGCTCTGCCGCTGTTTAGTAAAACAAGCCACGCAAATAGAGTTTCTTCAAGCAGGCTGTTACTCTGAACACTGTGATATAACCCACTGTTACATCCCTCAGGCCATATGCACATTGCACAGCTCAGTTTCGCACTTATAGTTAGTATAGTTTTCTACGGCTTTCTGTAACTTGTTTTTTCTTACTTTGCTGGGCCAAATTCGGCTCCTGGGCCTTGTTGACACCTCTAGTGTAATTAGTTAGAAAGTTGGAATATTTCGTGTATATCTAAGATTACTTCCATTTCCAAGATTTTTGCACTAAATGTATTTTTGAAGGTCAAAATAAATGTAAACCCACAACTGTCCTGTCTTCTCATTACACTTGGCAAGTCTGGTTAGTTGAAAGGGTTTTTTTTATATTTTACCTTTCAGGTTCATTTGCAGTGTCCAGTGTGCAAAAAAAGAAAAAAACATTAATTAAATGTGTTAAACCAAAAGCAATGAGTCTGTTTTAAAATGTAAGGAGTGAAAAAGACAGATATTTGCGTTAAAATGTAGGGAAGAAAAGTAAAAAGATGCTTTATTAGTTCCAACCTCTTTTCTGTGCTGTGCCTTTGTTACACTGTAAAAAAAATTGTAATATAAAATATTTTACTGTGTATTTTACAGTTTTGTACTGTTTTTCCAGAATATCATTAAATTTACATAAATAGACTGTGATTTTACATTTCAAATGTAAATTAACGTAAAATCACTGTAAATGTAATAAAACATAATTTTCTTGTTTTTTAAATGTATTTGTCTACATATGCATATTTAGATTGTTAAAATACATTCACAAATGTATCATAATTTCACAAATATCTGTCCGTTATTTGAAAGATTGAACTGTTAAATTCAAATGTAATGCTATGATGATCCTTATAAACTGTTTTTTACATCAAATGATAATTATTATTATTGTTGTTTAGGGCGATCGTGGCTCAAGAGTTGGCAGTTCGCCTTGTAATCGGAAGGTTGCCGGTTCGAGCCCCGTCTCGGACACTCTTGGCCGTTGTGTCCTTGGGCAAGACACTTCACCTACCACCTACGGGTGATGACCACAGGGGCCGATGGCGCGATATGGCAGCCTCGCTTCTGTCAGTCTGCCCCAGGGCAGCTGTGGCTACAACTGTAGCTCCACCAGTGTGTGAATGAATAGTGGAATTGTAAAGCGCTTTGAGGGTCTCGAAAAGCGCTATATAAATGCAATCCAGTATTGTTATTTAAACCAACTGTTAACTGTATATTTCTGTACATTTAAGTATTATTATTCATATTGCCGCATTCATTAAGATAAGATAAGATAAGATAAGATAAGATAACCTTTATTAGTCCCACACGTGGGAAATTTGTTTTGTCACAGCAGGAAGTGGACAGTGCAAAAGTTATGACGCAAAAATTAGAATACAATAAGAATAAATACAGTACACAGCTGTAC